TACGACTTTGCCGTGCCTGCCTTCCAGCTGTACCTCACATGTGCAATTAAGTTGTCAAAGTAGCCTCGGCCATTGCTTGTATTGTTCTTGGCGGTGGATATGTTGTTCAAGAGATGCTCATGCCTTTTATTACGTGCTTAAAGCAGTGTATACAATAATGACCGAATGGAAGAAAGAGCGACCACCACTGTTGTGAATATACTGTAGTCTATAGTGTGTTTTATGTCATTATTAGTTATAAATATTTTGAAGTTCCTTTGATTGGGTAAAGTATGCGTTTGATTTGCACGCGGTAAGAAACTTTGTTGTTATTTGGATTAGGAATCAAGTTGCCCTGCATTTTGGAATTTCCCATTGCGGGTTGTGGTTGATTTGACAAAGATGTATGTGTCTGTGTATATGTCAAGGTTATGTGTGGACTGTTATACTACTGTATATAACACGTTGCAATAATCAGCATTAAGGGATGGCCGTGCTGGCACAAGCAGCATGCCTCTCATGCTCAGGCTCGGCTTGTGGTTAGTTGATGGAGACATCTGACAGACCAGAGGCTTTTAGATCTAAATCCGGAAAAATGCTGTCCTATTTTCTCATTCTATCTCAGTCTCCGTCTCTTTCTCCCTTCCACTTTTCTGTACTTGCTGACTTGTTGTCCTCTTAGCAATAATTTCTATTTTCTGTTCATGGTACAGCCAGGGGTGTGCGGTTCACTAATAGGAAAGAAATGTGACTAACATTGAAACATCACGACTACTTGATTACTATTTCTTCTTTTCCGAAGGATATCATGTTTCAATTTGCAATGCTATGATCTTAAATGGGCGATGAAACATTTACTTTGTAATCGCGTAGATAGGAATAGTTTGGGCTCAAGAGTCCCTATCCACTCATCAAATGCAAAATTCATGCCACCTACCAACCCAACCAAATCTTTTAACTGCCTATTTGTGGGAATGCCCTTGTGAGCAAGCCCTTGGGAATTTAGCCCCACTGTGACTTAACAGTGGCATTACACCGAGTTTCTGCGCCGATGATTTAGCAGCTTGGCTGAGCAAAGATCCACCACTTTCACTCCATGGTCAGATCACACTGTAAATCTTAATCCTTTCGGTATTTTGGCAAAATCATGCCACACGTTAAGACACCTGGGAATGGTTTTGAATTGTAAAAAAATGTGTTGTATGCTCCCTTCCAAGCCCTTGTTTTTTAATGCCCTAAATGTGCTCATGTTTGAGTCTCCGTTTTGCATATCTAATTGGAGTTTGCATGTTCACCCTAGGCTTGTGTGACTTTTCTCTGTGTAATCTGAGTGAGTGTTAAGCGTGAATGGCTTGTATATCTCTTTGTCAGAACTGCAGTCGAACATGGACTTGTGATTTATCTCTGGTCACGCTTGAATATAGGCTCCAGTTATCCGCTGCCCTAATAGGGATAAGCAATAGAAAGTTGATAGATGTTTCCCTATCACTTTAGCTGACAGTGGTCTTTCTTTTGCCAAACATGTTTGAAGGGGAAAATTAAACACCTATCTTAAATTGTTGTGTAATGTCTATCAGACTTTGTGACTGTTTCATTAAAAACCCATTAGGGGCTTTCTTTGGGGTAATCTTACAGATGGGTTTGAAGCCAAGGAACATTAAAAAAAGTGTAATTTGATTCAAATGCGATGAGCTCTGTTTCACTCCACTTGCATTCCAATGGGTTTGTCGTCGATGAGTTAAGCTGCCCCACAAGGTCCACGAGAAGTGAAGAGAAAGAGGCCACATACTGACATTAGATAACCGACATTACTGAAACAATCACAGTCGGTTTTTCTGTGCCAGCTGCAAACCATTTTGTGAGCGTGTGTGTTGTTAGTGTTCAAGAGAGCGTAGACACAGCGGAGTTCAAGTACTTCTATGTAGCTAATATATGACGGCCTGTGTGTCCCTCGCTAGTTATAAATGACGAGTGGATGATTTTCTTCACATTTGTAGAACCAAATGTGGATGACTGCAGTATTTGATAAGTGCACTTGTAAATGCACTAGAAATTTATCAAACCCCTTTTTTGACCCATATCAGGGATGTGTTGACCAGTTCTGTGGTTCGTTCATTCATGCACTTCAATTGAAAACAATATCACTTTTTTTCCCCATCAACAGTAACTATATGGTAAAACTTTGATTTGAACATGTGATTGACTGGCACCTTGTCCACATGGCGGTGATGATGTTGTGGCGACCTTCGGTTTGTCCCATCAGGGATCACCACAGCCAGTCAGTAGTCTGCCAAAAGTCGAAAATATATTGGCAGATCACTTGGTGGCAAGTATTTAGTTGTTAAGACACAGTCGGTGTACACCCAAGAGGGAGTCCTGTCGACACTGACATGGAAGATGGGGCCTCTTCATGTCAGGTGGGAGGGGGGGCTGTCCGGCTGGGTTCTGTCTTTGATGAAGAACTATTGGGTTTCCTTCATTTATTTTATCATGCCAAGAGGTTCGCCCTTCACTGCTTGGCCTCCAATCTCCAGGCCTTGTCACGTTGATGTCAGCATGAGTCTGCTAGCGACTCACAGTGGAAAAACAACAGTAACCGTGAGAGTGTTTGCTCCGCAGTGACACCACTCTCTTTAAATGAATTGCTTTTCTTTTACTCATCGTATGACTTGTTTTAGATGTTTTTTTTTGAAAAATTATTCTTGTGTTACATTGCAACTTTGCTTCCAGTAATTCCAAGTCTTCTATGATCTTGTCCTATTAAGTGTTTGTTGTGGCTGAATAGGCCTTTGGATGTTGGAGCTACGAATAAATTGCCTGCATCAGGATTAATAACGTTTTCTTCATGTCAATTTGATGCAGCGTTGGTCATTTGATGTATATGGGCAAAAGGGGTTTTATTTTAAAAAAGGGTTTGGATGACAGTCACAGATCAGAAAACATTTGTTGTGGTCTTTCAATGTGTTCAGCAAACCTTTGACAGTGTACAGCTATGTAGTGTATCTTGTGAAGTAATAAAAAAATTTAATGAGAGGTAACAAAGGTTAAATGTGTCGAGAATGTCTGTCTCATATTTTGTATGTTTATACAAAGAAACCTCTGACACTATCTCCAAAGACAATCTTTCTGATAACCAGCAGTGGCAGCAGGGTTCAGCTAATTTTCGAGAGGCTCAGATGAGTGTCAACACTTGAGAGACATGTTTAAAACACTGCCTCTGGGTCTCTCACTCAGCCAGATGTCTGCAGGGGGTAGAGGTTAGGTCTGGCCTTCCTGTATTCTATCCCTCAGCTGGTGCCCACTTACGCTCTGGCTAGGAGGTCCCCCGTTGCCTTTAGGCAATGCCACTTTCATAGCTAAATCCCACTGCTCTTTTTTTTTTTTGCGGCTCTGTTCTTTCTTGCTTTGTAGTCTTAAAGCTTTCCAAGATATCTGTACAGGAGTTTATTTCTTAAATGACTGACTTCATATGGGTTCAGGCATTGCTTGTCCAGCCTTACCGCAGTCCCCATCGTGTACCTTCTTTGTTCCTTCCAGCCCTTTTTTCCCTGTTTTGTGCCCTTCCGTGGTAAGCTCATTTACTACGGAGGCAGCATACAGTAATGCTGTCCGAGGAACTCACTCTTAAAAACGGCGTGTGTCCCTGCGGTTCAGTTCCAACAACAAATGAAATCAAATTTCAATAGCTTTTTAAAATCGCTTTCAATGTTCTGATAAACGTGAGACTTAAAGGACCTCAGTGACCCAGCATACATAATAAGCACATGTGAATGTTGCTTGTCTTTGTCTTGCGTAGCTGGCCATTTTACTACCTAGATTGGCTGTTAAATTGTTGCAGATCTCCAGTAACCTCTCAATGCCATACACAGTGCTTATCTCACGCTGCCCTCCAAGCTTTTCCCAATGTCTCATGTTTTACAATTGTTGAAATCTTTTTTTCCCCTCTATCATGAAACATTTCACTCCTGTTATATTTTTTAAAATGTCTCACAACCTTGTAGCATGTTTACATGAGTTAAAGTATGACAAATATGTTCAATTCAACATTGTACATGTGGAGAATCTAGGCTCTAATAACCTTTGTAAGTTCTGTGGTTCATGATTCTGTTGGTGTCAGAGGATGGCATGCTTCTATATTTGTGGCCGCCGTCTTTTTAAACCACAATGGTTTAGGGTTAAACATTTATTAATGAACACATATTTTTCTCAGCAACCTATAACCCTGAACTAGTTTGGGGGCTCCCCAAAAGCAAAACAGTGTGCTTGGAGTGGAGGTTTCCTGAACATGGTGGAGGTGCCCTTGAACAAGCTACCAAATTCCTAAACCACTCACCGCACCATTGAGCTTGCCTGTCATTCTTTCAAATCTCCCTGCCCTGCATGTTTGTGCAAGTGCTCTATATATTGTGCCGAATGTAATCTAAAGCAAATAGAACTCTCAATTAAGTGGCAAATCCATCCATCCATCATTCGACCCGCTTCTCCTCTATTTCATCTTAATGTCTTTCATGCTATCAATTCTACTAAGGAGTAAGCGCCTTGTAACAATGTTTCAAACGGTGCTGTATAAATTTATTATTATTATTATTATTGTTATTATTATTATTATCACTATTATGACTATACATGCATTCATAATGTGATTACATTCCTGACTTGCGTTCACTCAGCGATGACATATAGTCAAAGGTCCCAACTCATCCAAGGCCCACTGTTTATTTGTAGGGCCTATAGTGGGAGAAAGGTCTGCTTGGGATTAATGGTGACCTAAAGAAACACTCAAAATCAGTGCTGCTCGGTTGCTGCCAGCTAAATGCAACTCACATTACACATATTAACTCTAAGTGCTGTCTTTGTTGCTTTGCACCCATTGTACACAATGACAAAATAACAACATAATGAATTGGTCAGAACTTGTGCTTTCATCACAAAAGATTTGAACCCAGATTCTATCGCTTCTGTGATTAAAAATCAAACGTCAGTGTCCAGCTTCACATGAGCGTTTTTGTTTATCTCATCAGGATGACCATGAGAGTGGGTCTAGTTCCACGAGTCGCAGCGTCTCAGAGAATTCCAAGGTTGTCGGCAAGCCCCGCCGACTGCAGCAGGCTGCCCCCAGTGACCCGGACCTTCCCCCAGGTGAATGATGGCCCAAGGGCCAGAAAAGCCACGCCGCGTCCCGTCTTTTTGAATGACCACCGATGGAGGCTATGGGGGAGGACAGGGACACAGAGTAGACACATATTCCTATTTACACAATCACAGGTTTGAGTTGGCCTCCAATAATGTTGAAAATATATTTGCAATTTAAAGAATTAAGTGAAAAATTGCCTTCAGAGGTTTGCCATCTAATATTATACGTAATATATTATGTACACTCGTGTGAATACATGTGTTGAGGGGTGAGGTGGGTTTATCTGTGCCGCACAATTTTTACAAACCTTCATTTTATGCCGTTTGAATGAATTCATTGGCTCAGTCTGAATATGGTCAACAACAGACAAATCCCACAAGATGTTTGTTATATTTGTATATAATATATGATCAATTTTTGTTCAAAAAGTTGTGTACCTGCAGAAATTCCTGATAGTTTTCTTTTGAAACATCTACCGCATGTTCTGCATAACAACTTCGCACCAAACCACGTGATGAGAATTGAAGGCAAGTCAATTCAATGTTATTTAAATAGGGCAACACATTTTTCTCATGGCACTTTAGACATGGAACAGGTCTCGAAACATGCCCTTTCACTAGTGGCGCTCTGATCGATCGGCCACCGGCCGTGATTGGCCGATTTCCGTGGAAGTATGTGATCTGCATATGTCAGTCCCGTCCAAGAAAAATGAAAAACAATGACCAACAGAGGGAGACAGAACGGAAAGCCTGGCGAGTCAGATTTAGCGAGTTTCTTAGATAAATTGGGAAAATAGCACACAATGCCTGTCATTGCTGATCACAAAAAACGATGAGCCGCAACTCGTGCTTTGCAACCTGCAGCCAGCTAGAGACCAGCCTGTGTGCAATGTAGCGTCCCCTCCCCTTTTCCTTAACACTGCACGTCACCCAGTACTGAATCATAATATATAAAACTTCCAGTTTTTACATAATATATGGAAGGAGATTTGGATTGAATGTTTCAAAAAACAATCAGATTCATCATTTAATTGAAAAAATAGTTGATAGATTCTTAAAGTAATCATGAGTGACCAGCTCTATAATCACGAATCCATGTGATTGGTATTGTAATCGGTTTCGTCCGATCTCACTTGTGGTCGCTATCGGTAGCATAATACCCTGATTGATACACCCCTACTCGTCATACATCGGCACACATTGGCAGGTAAATAAAGTAAACCCCACATGAGCCAGCGCTACACCATGGCACACCTTAAATAGCTGTTTAAGATTGATGCCATTTTTTTGCTGGGGACCCCTCCAATGCTGCTTATATTTATTTTTTATTATTATAATTTTTTTTATACTTTGATGCTTGTTCTTTTAGCACTGTAATTGTGAATATGGCTGCTGTGATGAATGAAGTACTATATCTTTCTACAGAATCGTTCCGTCTGTCTGGCTTTCTTTCATAGTCACTCCATCTACTGTATTGGTTAGTGAGACAAGAAAGACTGTTTACTAATGAGTGCACAATCTTGCTGCTTCTGCAGCAAGATTCTGTGCTTAAAACCGTCTCGTAATGTTGAAAGAAAAATCCACGGAATGGACCATGTACAATAAAGGAATAATTAAAACATATATATTTTTGTCCTTAATTTGATTTAATTCTCTGACATAGCCTTCTTTCTAAGTCAATTAAGACATAAAAATAAATGTTGCCAATAAAATCCATAAAAAAAAAAAGAAGTCAAAATAAATAATAAACTCTTAAAACATTTACAACAAAAAATGAGCTCCTTTGAATAAGTCACCTCGAAAAAGAAATTTAAACATCAGAAACAAAACACTCAACAGGAATATTATTCAAACCCACTGTAGCAGTTATACTCTCTTTTGGTTTGTCATCTGCGCTTTAATGAGACACTTGAGCCGAGTTTGGCGTTGCTCTGCCACAGGTTATTGTCTCCAATGGGAAACAAGTCATAGCACACAAATATTTTATTGAAGTCCTGATTAAACGACAAAGAAAATGTACTTATCTTGGAAATAAAATATTGTTTCCACGTATTCGCTGTAATGTGCTTGCGTACCACTGGTTGGGAAACAGACTTACACAAACCATGTACTGTATTACAATGTTAGTTTAGCGTCTCAATTCTCGTATGTACACTTCTACAAAACAATTCACGTTAGAAAATTAACAGTCTGCATTATAACATAAAAACAAAATTCTAGTAATAGGAAAAAAATGTTTGATGGGGGTCGGGGAAGGAAAGAAGAATGGGAAGGAAGGGGTATTCAGCTTACAGAGTAGGTCACAGTGTAACACCCAAGTTATCCGAAACTCAGCATGCATGAATATATGAACTTATATTCAGTCCTAGCTGGTTGTATCTGGGGAGGATCCATTTCCCTGCCTGATGTTATGAGATAATATCGCTCCCCAGCTGTTAAAGCAAGGTGCCTCACCTCAGATTCTCCCTTTGGGCCTGCATTTAGCTGAGCGCTGAGGTAGGTGTGAGGGAGAGGGAGAGGGAGAGAAAATCCCACCAAACTTTTCCAGCAATGCGCCAAGCCAACCAACTACAGTCACTTCTATAACAGTCCAATCAGTGCTCGTGGCATTGCACAACTCCATCCAGCCCTTGGCATTTAACTTGGGATGTGAAGCTTCCATATTGTTGCTTACCAATGGAGACACGTCATTCGGCCCTGGTCTAGAGTTTTTGGGTAACCACACTAGGACAAAAAGACCTAGTCCTTTGACCTTGAGCAGTTCTGTCAATGATTATGATTACAGTTTAATTTCAGGAACAAGCTGCCAGGGAGTTTTAGTAGTACACAGGTGCCAACTGTTACGGCTTGCCTGTAATCTGTTACGGGTATCACTGAACGCTACCTCGTTACGCCCGTACAATTGATTACTCTGTATATCCCCCCCACCCCAGCCCCCCAAAAAAAATCATGGCTCATGTTGCTCAAACACGTTGAGAATGAACAAAATACTTTGTAGATGATTGTGTTAGTTTGACAACACGCCACAGAGGGTGAGTCCTTCTGCTGGTGGCTCCAATGATGTATTGCTCACTCGTGGGTTGTGTAACCTCGCAGACCAGTCAGACGTTAGCCAAAGGCCAAAAACTTTAGATGAACCCCAATTTCTAATACACGGTAAGTCAACACGATTAAGGAACGGGAATTTTGGGTGCCAGTCTGAGTTGTAATTACACATACATAAAGCATGTTTTTGGACTGTGTTGCACTCTGTGTGTTGCTGTGGTGGCATGCATTGTAAATTTCATATACTTAATATTACTGATGTCTCAGTTAAATATTTAGTACCAGGAACGATCATTTCCCATAGTTGTCGGCTTTTCTTATCGGTTGCAAATTTTACACCCTGATTACTATAGTGTGAGTGCAGTGCTTACACACTGTTTCACATTGGTTGTGCTTCTACTACCTCTTCATTGTCTCAAGAATTCTGCATGCATGATTGTGTAATAATGTGCGATTTGCTTGGGCTGCAGTGCAAACACACTCCTGAGATAAATCCACAGTCCAGTGCTACCGCTGTTGTGGCACTGGGGCCTCTCCAAAGAGAATGAATACGGCAGCTGTTCTGGTATTATTACTGGCAAATGCTACTTAAAGATACTGAGTATCCCACCCATGAGCTTTTAGATATATAGCTTGCTTCTCTGTACTCGACAAATAACATTCCATGCACTTTTGGGTTTGACCAATCTGTTTCAGTACACAAATGAATAAAATATAACTATGAAATACATACTGTGATTACTTTGTTGTAATTATCCGATCACTGTTCTGTTTTCTTGCTTTAGTGAAATGGAGGTGCTTTTCGAATCCAGTCAAAAATGACACTTTTTAGTGTTAATAAGGTTATGTTGGAGTTGGCAGACTTGCCATTGCATGTAGGACATTAAAGTCACAAAGTGTTTTGTATTTCCCCCAGCCAAGCTCCCTCTACCTTTTCCCTGTCAACTCTTGTGACTTTGGTGAACATTTTTGAATAGGGTGTCTTTTTGGCTCGAGGTGAGTTGCTGGCCATGTCAGTTGTTTAGAGAAGGTCACACTCATGTGATAGTTCATTGAGGGTCTTTGTGTGAGGTAAGAGTAAGCACAAGTGAAACATGAGTGAAAAACATCCCAGCAGTGGACAAATTAGATCCAGAAAAGGAAATAACATTGCTGGTTTAGCGTCCAGGCTGCTGATGCAACAGCAGCTTTCTAACTGACCTCAGAACCACAGCCACACTCATACATGCTGCAGAAGCCAGAACACACACCAATTTTGGCACGCACAAGCATGCAAAGCCAGGCACCTCTGTGACAAACACACATTGCGTTTGTAGCTGAGTTTATGTCACCCTCCCCACTTGCCTCTAATGGGTCAGTCAGCAAAGTCTCAATAATTTTGTCATGTCTAGTCAGGCACAGCAGAACAGCATGCTAATTCATCTTAATTCATTTTTTCAAGAGTGCTGCTTCATTATTGGTTCTGTTACGCATTAGAGTATTCATGAAAATACAGGAAGATAAACATTTGGTTTTGGAAATAAAGTGAAAACTCAAGATGTTTATGCAGTATGTTTTACTCTGCCGTGACTGTGCTTAACAGCATACTTGAGAAATAAATGACGGCACCGGTCCGATGGCTTTGAAGGATCTTTCTGCACTATTTTAAATTTCTTTATTTAAAAGACGCTTTTGCTTTTTAGTTAGTTCTGGCTTTACGATGGGAAATTTGGGAAAATGCCGCAAGTGCAAAATGAAGTTTGAAGTGTGAGTGAAGATGCAAGTAAACAAAATAAATCGATTCTGTGATAATTCTGGGGAAGCCAGAAACTGTGAGCCATGCTTTGTTTATTCAACTTGAGTCCGTGGCAGGGGATGTCCAACCAGGTAGGTGCCCATCCTCCCAAACGTTGCGTTCAAAACTTTGGACAGTATCCCCGAAGAATACTTTGGGAAGAGCGAGCACCTGTTGTTCCAATGTGCTAAAATGTTGCAGATGCATGGAATTGCAGAGTTTTGTCATAGGTGATGTGGCTGTGACTGGCTTCAAGTCGGCCCTTAGATCATTCAGAAGCTCCAAACTCTGTTGCTGAATAGATGATGCGTCACAATAATTTTGGCTGGCATTTTCAAATTGTTAACACAAGCAAAAAGTTTCTCGCTGCCCCACGTCTCCTTTTGCCTACGCTATGTTGACACCAATATATGCACTGGTTTGCTTCCTCCCTTTCAGATGCACTATTTGAAGATGCAAAATCAACCAGCCCAATCCTGGTTGCGTGCGTAATTTAGCATGTGTACATCTCAATATGGTTTAAAAAATTTGGGAATTTCCGGAAACCAAATAAACATTTAGTCATCTCCACATATTACATACATAGCACACAACAAATTGATGGATAACTAGTTTTCGAATCAGAAGTCAAGAATAATGACTTGTTTAAACATTGTTTATATTAATGTGGTTTGGTAATGAGAACATGCTTGCAATATCAAATGTTTTTTTGGTTTACATATGACAATTTGAAATTTTTGTTCAGACTTTAGCAAGCATCATGGAACTTGACATGCTTGATTTGCTTTCGTGGGCCACATAAAATGATGTGGCGGTTCAGATCTGGCCCCAAGGCCTTGACTTCGACACCCGTGATCTACAGTATGTGGAAACAATTTGTGGGAACCCTTCTTTGCATCGAGTTGTGTGGGACGTGTTTGGTGGGGGGAAAACCTGGACTGGCCAATGCAGAGCTTTCAGTTCTGCCGCTTCAATTTTGCAATGAACTAGATTGTGAGCAAGGTCGTCTTGTCCAACAACATACACGTGTTTTACTTGCATCTGTTTAATGCTTAACGTGTTTCTTAAATGTGTACTTGTTTTTGTTACAGGTTATGTGCAGAGCCTGATTCGACGTGTGGTGAATAATGTGAATGTTTTGGTGAACAACTTGATATTGAAGTACGTCGAGGATGACATTGTGTTGTCAGTCAACATTACTTCAGCAGAATGCTACACAGTGGACGATGTGTGGGAGAGGGCCTTCATGGACGTCACTGGTAAGATGGCAAATTTTGGTGTGGTAAGCACAAAAACCTTTAGTACACTCTTCAAAATAATTTTGTAGAATTATTTTCTGGGGCAATAATTGCATATGTTGTTTCTATAGCCAGACAAGGTTAATGTTATCAGTGTCAGTCAGTTTTGATAATTGGTTCACCAGATGAATTAATTTTCATCCACCCTGTAGTTTTATTGTTTGTGAGGGAGGCTCGAGCAGCTATGCATGTGTAGTAAAATAATAAAAAGGAAAAAAAAAATCACTGTGTGGCTACCATCACCCGATGACATCAGCCCTTTTGACCAGCTATGGAGCATCCTTAAAATGAAGGCCTATGAGTATGGACAGTAGGTCATTGATTCTGGCATCGTCAAATAAGATCCAGGCTCAAATAAGGATTTCCAATTTCAGTGAATGAGAGAGTTGGGATTCTCACGAGGTGGCTCTGAGATTAACATGTAACTGTGCTCCTTCTACAGCTCCAGAACTCGTTCTTCGGAAAGTGATCAACTTTTCAGATTGTACTGTGTGCTTGGACAAACGGAATGCAAGTGGCAAGATCGAATTCTACCAAGACCCGCTGTTGTACAAATGCTCTTTCCGAACACGTCTTCATTTTAGTTATGACAACATCAATTCGAAGATCCCCTCTGTCATCAAAGTAAGTAAAAAAAAAAAAAACCGTCACGGGACACATTATAGTTACCCTTTCCTTTGGAGGGCTGTTATGACTGCGAAACAATATAAAGAAGTCAAGGATTATGGTTGATTGAATTATTGTTTTAAGTTACTGTAATGAGGGGCTTGGCAACAAGAAAATACTTACAATATCTCTCTTATTACGTATGAGAAGTTGAAATTTTGGTACAGATCTTAGTCATCATCATTGAAGCTTCCATGTTTGATTTGCTTTCGCGGGCCATATAAAATGATGTGGGCCAGATCTGGCCCGAGGTGCCTTGAGTTTGACACCTGTGCTGTACGGTAAGAAATAACATTGGCAAGGACTCGTTCTCATTGTATTACACGGGTGTTGATTTCAAATTGGGCGTAACCTCCTTTTGTACTAACTTTGCCTTAACGCAATAAATTTGCATTCTCATTCCACACAGTGTCAGACAATCAGTTTTTGGCTTTTATCTGCAGATAACCCAAACAAATTTTTTTGTCGAACCAGAGAAGAAATATCGTCTTACCGTTCATTCCTCAGCAAACACCTGTGAGGAAATTTAGAAAGCTCAACACCCCTCCATGTAATTTAAAGAATTCATCTACACTGTGTGTTATCCCCCACAATAATAACTTGGTGTGAAGATGTTTCAGCAAAAACCTAGTTTGAGTGTTTAATAAAATTTCTCTACTCAAGCCATCATGTTTTTTCTTATGTCTCCTCAGATCCAAACCATGGTGGACAGCCTGAAGTTGTCGATTACAGATCAGCAACTGCCCATGTTTATCCGAATTTTGCAACTGATTATTGCGCTCTACTATGGGGAAATTGGTGGGCATAAAGAAGCAGAACGAGAAGAGGGAAGCTGTCATGTCAGGGAAGCTGGAACAAATTTACCTGGTGAGTGGGATGTCTTTTGAAGTCCACTTCATCTAAGTTTGAGGTATTCCATTTAAAACATATTTTTTTTTTGTCACTGGCCGTTCATTTTAACGTTGTAAGAACAAATCTAACGCTAGAGCACTGCAAATATCGATTCACCTTTATCGAATGTTCCCTTTGTGAAATGTCCTTCCTGACCTCACCCTAAAGTGATGATTTTTAAAAAATTTTTTTTTATCATTTTGTGTTGGACTTGGATAAAAAAATCATTTAGCTAATTTCCAATAAACATCAAAATAGGACACTTGTGGCCAAGTACTGCAGTATACACTATGGAGTTATGAACTAATAATGCTCTACAAAATTGTAGTCAAAGAATCTAATATACATAACTCGGGATGCACACACAGCCCTTTTTTAGGTCTCAGTACTATGTACATTACTTGTGAGAACTTGATATTGCCTTTATCTTGCTGTTGTGATAAAAATGCGCTTTATTTTGATCAAATATATGTAGTATTGATCAAAAACAAACTTTTCTTGAACATGGTTTACATATTACTGAAATATGCGATGACACTCTTCTGAGGAACAGCTTGTCGGCACTGACATTTAAACAGCCGGCTGTGTCAGTCCGAAAACTAGTCCACAGAATAAATAAAGGAGTACATTGGTAAGAGACAAAGAAGATCGAGGCATCTTCTAATGTGGAATACAGGTGCCACGTTACCTTTGGGTGTTAACTAGCAAATACAAATACATAAAAGACTGGTTCTTGAGAATACCACAAGTTACAAAATTAAACTGGGGAAGGCTCGAGTGCCTCATCCGTCGCAGCTGATTGACGGGAGTTCAGATGGATTGCTACAGCCAGGCAGCGCAGGCGACAGCATTCAAGAGCATTGGTGCTAGCCAGACAGCTTACCGGTCCTGCGAGATGACGCCCATTGCCTCCCGGGCATTCGTTATACAATTTGCAGCACATATTCACAGTCGGGCGGCCCGGTAGTCCAGTGGTTAGCACGTCGACTTCACAGTGCAGAGGTACCGGGTTCAATTCCAGCTCCGGCCTCCCTGTGTGGAGTTTGCATGTTCTCCCCGGGCCTGCGTGGGTTTTCTCCGGGTACTCCGGTTTCCTCCCACATTCCAAAAACGTGCATGGTAGGCTGATTGGACACTCTGTATTGTCCCTAGGTGTGAATGTGGGCGTGGATGGTTGTTCGTCTCTGTGTGCCCTGCGATTGGCTGGCAACCGATTCAGGGTGTCCCCCGCCTACTGCCCGAAGACAGCTGGGATGGGCTCCAGCACCCCCCGCGACCCTAGTGAGGATCAAGCGGTTCGGAAGATGAATGAATGAATGAATGAATATTCACAGTCGGTTTTAGCAAAATGTTGTCCTCCCTGTTTACCTTAAAGCACATATCTCCAACATGCTGACATGACTCCCACTCCAGCTGTCCTGAAGGTATGTGTCAGGCTGCTTAAGTGGTAAATTACCCCCCGCCACTCATCTCCACACACACACACACACACACACACACACACACACACACACACACACACACACACACACACACACACACACACACACACACTTTTCATTTGACAGAGCGACATGCACAGAAACTTATGAATTTGATTAATTGAACATGCAAGGGAGAATCAGAGCTCTAGGGGTGCACATCATCGAGCACCCCAAAGTAAGGACAAATTTGTTCCTCCAACAACTGGATCCCATTCCTTTTTCTGTCCATAGCTGGACTGAATTGGCCACCCTCAAGTGGCTGGTCCCGAAACTGTCATCTGTTTTTTTCCTTGCTTTTTATAAATGGGAGGGTGAGTTTGACCGTTGTGTCTTCCTCCTGCTTTTTCCAACAATGTTTAACTGAACACAGACCATTGTCATCAAGCTTGAGCCCTGCATAGAAGGATCAAGTGAAGAAACAAGGGCAAATCAAACACAGACCCATCTCCTAGTTTCTGATTTGAACCTCATAGGAAATCACGCTGCTCACATCCTGTAGCCAACTCAAACACACATGGTCCTGACTTCACTTGCTGACGTGTGCACACTGCATCACGCACAATGGCACCCTGATCAATTGCCCACGTGAAATCAGGTTTGATTGTCACATGGCTAGTTTTGGGTTTACTATGTTATTATGTAACTGTAACCTTCACTACTGTTTTATTCACGTGCTCGTAATTCAGAATGTAACACTTAAATTCAGTATGGTTATCCAAAGACAGCCATCTTATTGTGAGTTTTATCTTGTCGAATCAGGGATAGCCACAATGACTTTTGGCACATGCATGGATTGGTACTGAATGTCGTTCACGATGCAACCAGTAACCAAAGACACAAGCGGAAAAAAATCCCACCTCCTGCTCATCCTCATCGCAACACAACAAAGTTATCGAGTCCCCAGTCTCAATAGGCCAACACCCTTTTTGTAGCACTGACAACAAATACAAAAAGTGATGATCAGTATGGAGGGAGTCAGGAAAGAACACAATTTATTGTAGCTGCTTCAGTTTCTCCCACCAGCCTTCTCCCTGCCTGTTGGCCGGGAACTTTAACTGTAAGTTGGCAGGGCTTACTGTTTGCTTTCCAATGCCAGATGTAAAAGTTGGTGTCATGCTCCTACTATTTGGAGCCTCTGAGAATAAATTAGTATCCTATCACAAAAATATACAAAAGGGGACCAAGTTATGGAACCCGAGCACCCTCAGAACTTGTTTTCCTGGAAGTAATCGACTGAGTAAAGAGAGACTGGGTGTGTGTTTTCTGAGATAAGATTGGGAGCAGTTTTGGCCTGTACATGAAAATTACCCCCCACCCCCAATAGTAACACCAGAATAATTAGAGCTCAAATAATACATGATTGAGTTCAGTAATTCCCGACCAGCGCACTATGGAACTGTAGAGTGCCATGTGAGATCATCTCGGGGACTGCTGGAATTTATCCAGTTGCACTTGTTCCAAAAATACAATTTATTCTTTTCAAATGTATTTGTCCATCTATTTATGCAGTGATGTCCAGTGACAGGTAGAACCATGTCACGTTAAATGTCTGAAGGTGCAAGACACCTGTGTAGCCACGTTGCCAGTCGTACAACAGAATACATCATGGTTTCCTGCCAGTATATCAGTTTTGTCTTCAAGTGAACAGGTCCAGATTTAAGTAAGCAAATAACAAGATCGTCATTTCAATATTTATACTCTGTGACATATTTCTTTGGTCCTGTGCTGTGAGGTTTTTCGAATGTGAAATGATTGGCTCAAATGGGGAGCGCTGTTTAGTTCGTATGGCACATTTTGTTTGGAAAACAAAGCAACAGCTAATAAATGTCTTTTGCCTTTAATAGGTTGTGGATACAGCCACACAATGCTATGTTGACTCTTAGATATACTGATCTTAAATGCTGTGTTTCCAGCATTGCACAATTATTCAGTTTTTTATCACTGACTGCAAAGGAGCATTACAGCATAAATAAATAGCCATTTTTTTGTTGGTTATCCTCCGTCAACCAGAAAGTAGTCTAATAATAATTTGTCTCCTGACTGATCCCTTTAAAGAATAGATTCCTCTGGTACTGTTAAAGCTCTCTTGTGCCGTTAAGATTTGACTACAAAAATGTCAGGAAAAGCCTGCTAAAACGGCTGAACTTTGTTTGGGATCAATCAGAGGCACTTTAAGTGGAAACAGGCGGACTCCCATTTAAAATGAGTTTTTGAATCTGATTAGTCTGAGTACAGCCCCTTTGCCATTTTAGCTGTCGTGCTTATTTTCTCACTCTATTGAAAAGATTTCAGTTTCGTCCATTTGAGTTGTGCAGTTTATCAAGGACACTTGCCCAATCAACGATTCATTTGGGAATTCGGGCCATTTTCGCAAAAGCTGTAAAGTTTCCTGATTATACAAATGATTACAAATGTATTGTCTGTAGGCGTATGTGTTCGTGGGCACCGTTCGGGTGTTAGCGTGTGTGTGTGTGTGTGTGTGTGTGTGTGTGTGTGTGTGCGTGTGTGTGTGTGTGTGTGTGTGTGTGTGTGTGTGTGGCAAGCTCTCGATACAGTATGCTATGTGTGTGAAAGCCTGGAGTTTGTCCAATGACTCATGCATACGTTTTGTGCTCTGTAGTGTGTTTTCAGTGAGAGTTTGCTTTGAAGGCGTGCTTGCTGTCACTTTTCACACAGGCCCTTTGAATGGACCAGACTGTCACGCATATTGGTTAGAGGCCACGGGCTAATATCAAACGTCATATGGCTCACATATGTCAGGGTGATGACATGTCGTGATGTTTTATATTTAACAAAGCATATTAATTGGGATTGAAAATGATGTAGTAGACTTTAAAAAAAATATGTATATCAATAAAAATAATACTCTGCGTTTTAATGATTTGCTGAAAATGGTTTCTCATTATAGGCCTAGCTAATGTTCAAAATGTAGGTGATTTCTACGTACTGTATATGTCAAGTTACCAGGATATTTTAGAATTGTACAAAATTTTCCCTTCAGGTCATTTGCGGACTCAAGATGTCCTTTCAGCTACCAGGTTCAGAATAATTTTGGGCTAATGTGTACGCATGCATTTGTATTTCAATTTGTGGAATCTTCAAAAAAAAAAATACCAACAGGGGAATGTGCATAAATCAAACCATGCGCCAGAGTCAGAGAAGTTCAGGGTTTGCTCCTGTGTCAGGTGATCAGAACACCTTTTCCTTACATAAACATGCAGGGACATCTACTGGCCTTTGAGGGCACAGCCTTTCTTCCATTTGTCCTCCTAGGTCTGTCTCAATGTCAATCAGATGGTCACTCACTTATGCAGCCACTTGTTATTTAAGCTGAGGAGCAATGTGATAGGTGTTAAATGCTGCTCCTGGAGCCCCACTTTGGACATTGATACGCCTCCGATTTTCGTTATTTTAGATTCAGCCACTAAAGCTTAGGCTGAACTAATGTGGGAAACAGTGGTCATTTTATTTCTGCAGATGCAGTCAATCAGCCCCACATCAGGCTGGGAATTTTTCCACTCACTACTTTGGATTAATACTTCAAAGTCTACCTAAGCCGCTGTGTTTTGATCATTTCATTGGTAATTGCGCTTCTATTCTGATTGTCTCATAATTCAAACGTAGGCTTCGTCAGTCTGTGACATGAAGCAGAACAGCTTAACTTGTTGAAATGACACCTCAAAGGCTACCACAGGGTGGAAAAAAAAGAGACCAAATTGGACAGGAACATTGGAAGAGAGAAAGAGATAATAACCCTTAACTGCCAATTCACCAAGTGAAAGATTTAATTAAAATATGTCAGAATTTCACCCCCTCAGCCTCTGGGATTCCTAAGCAATGACCTCACGGACAGTATTGTTTTCCTGCAGAGGACATGAGGCTGCAAGGAATGGGATTACACATTCTTGTGTATTGACATCAGCTTCCTCTTTCTCCATCTTTATGGAAATAGAGTTGAAAGGTCGGTATCAGAGAATGAACAGCGTGGTGTAGTTTGTTCAAACTTGCAAACAGGAATTGCATTCAGAGGCGTTTGTTTTTGCAACATGCTCACTTAGGAGTTCACTAAAATAGAGGACAGTTTTGATTTGTTTAATTCAGTTATATGTGTTTTTGTTTTGTGATCATTTGTCTTGGACCTACTTTGTACTGGCTCCTTTTTCTGTCCAACAAGTCTTTTATACTCCCAATTATTCTGTGGCACATCAGTCCATTATTCAAATGGTAAAACGCTCAGTACCGGATTATTCAGAGGTGGCAATCTTCAAGCCACGTGTCCTATTACGATTTAGATTTTGCTCTTAGTTTTTGGTCCATGAACAAGCATTGCACTATACAAGGGTTTAAGTGGGTTTAAGCAGCACACACGTACTCACCGTTTTATACATGTATGTTTTAGCTTTGGCTGTAAGAGTGTTTTTATCTTCATTTGATTGCAGTTCAATAGTTACTCATGGGGCTGGGGAACGAGCTGGCCCGTGGGTAGCTTAAATCCGCATAATAGATGCCCATTAAAAATGCATTAGGAAAAAAACTGAAATCCTTGAAAAAAGTGGAGGCAAACCTTCAACAAGCGTTTTACACAAAAGAAACGGTGGTTAGCTCCCCAAAAATAACAAGAAAAAAAAATCCAGAAGAAAAAATATTGAAAAAGAATCCACAAAATGGTGACTTCATGGCTACTGAACTGCTAGTATGCGGAGTCCCCTGTATAAAACTTGAAGACAATGGCAAATTAATGATGGATTGGGTACAGAGACACTTTGTTCTTTTCCCTGAAATTTGATCTGAAAACGGCATGTTTTAAATTTTTGTCATATATGAGCATTTGTCTGCTCGCGTTCCTATTGGAGCTTGTAATGCAAGCATTTTTCTGTCATGTATGCTGTAAAGTGTATGTGACCCCGAAGAACCTCCAAGGCAGAGGTTCTAAATAGGCCCCACCCTGGGACCCACATTTTCCAATGGTAATTAAGTCTGACCCCTTTGACAGATGTCAAACCAAGCTTTTGAAAACATTTGTATGTCAAACTGAGTAAGTGAGGAAGAACATGACAACCGTATAAAAGGGAAGAGAATTACGGTAGTACTAAAATTGAATCGATTAAGCACCACCTCAAGTAATGTCATTGAAACAGTTCAGCATTTGATTTACTCTTCATATTGGGCGAGAGTTGACAGGTCATATTTACACTTTGACTGGTGGTGTCACTGTGGAATATTTCTAGAATTGATTATTACATTGATTCATCGCAAAATCGGACAAGGTGTGGTCTTGCATTGAAGTGCATTACGAAACATTTTTTTTCTGATTTCTGTTTATTAAACACTTAGTTATTTGGTGTAGTTTACGGCTTAAAAATACAACAAAACCACAATAAAGCAATGTCACACGATAGGGATGTTGTACTCGCCAAACTTTTTAAAACAGATTCAGTTACTGGTTCAATTATTTTCCAAAATCAAGAACAGATGTTTTTGTGTCTTATTTTGACTAAACACAACATTATTCTGCTTTCATAAAGGACTACAGAAATCACTTGAGGCAGTCAAATAATGGTTCTAAAGGATTACTCAATTATTCAAATAGCCGTCGATTAATTGTATACTTGATCAGTTGTGAATGAATTTAGACACCTCTAGCAAATATGCTATAATGCTGCTCCTTTCTGATGTATACTGTACTTGTCAGGAGACATATTGTTTCAAAAGAAAAGCCACGTTTGACATCAGAGGCACATTTAAAGATTTCATTCCATTTTTGACTTGCTGACCATGACCTCCTTTTGGGTCCTGACTCCCACTCGTCATTCACTGCTGTCATTGTCTCTAGAGGTTGTGCTCTTATTAACTTATTTTCATGAGATAAAGTCCAGCGTTACATACTTGGACTAACCCATCATATTTTGTCTCACCACTATACACATAAGACTGTACAGTTCAATTAATGCGTGCTGTTTTTGTTCTTATATTTCTATTTTAGGGATGGATATGGACATAGCAAACCAAGTTCCGAGCCAGTACTCTAATCAAGAGTTCTTCATGGACTCGGGCCTTTCACCAGATAGCAACCAGGGCTGGGTGTCTTGGGCGTGGTCATTTGTTCCAGCTATTGTGAGCTATGAGGAGGGCGAGGAAGGTCTCTACCAGCAAAGAGAGACAGGGAACATCCCAAACAATCCCCAACAACACACACCCAAGGATCCTATTGTGTCAATAGGCTTCTACTGCACCAAGGCTTCTGTAACATTTAAGGTAATTTATCTTTTGCAGACCTGGCTGCTAGCGTGTTTTTTTTTTTGTGTTAATAAAACAATTTGTGATATTTTGTTATTTTAATTTTAATGACTGCTTAATATAATCACTTTATCTACTATTTTTATTTCATAATTGAAACAACATATACATACATACACATGAAGCTGTTTATTTCTCACAATACAATTGAATGCATGAAGTAAATGCATGCAATTAATATTGAGCTTAGCATGTTGGTGCGGCCCTCGACAACCATTTGTTTCTCACATTGTCCACCTGTGCTCTATTGAAAGAGTACTGTCATGAAAACCTGAACTGAACTGGAATCCAATTTAACGAATGGAATGCATGTTTCCATCTTCCCAAAGCACAACAAATCCAAATAAAATGACCAAATTATTGCAATGTGAACGGTACAGCTTTGCATTTGTTTCCCCCTGTTTCACCAGTAAGCAATATATGCAGTTATAAACACTTTCACAGGAGCGCCACTTATTTGCAGGAATTTGCTGTTCGCGGTTGCGCTCAGGCTCTATCTCTTGCAAATAGTGGCAGTCCACCGTATCTCAAAGAGGAGTACCTCCCTCATATTTTGATTAATATTTTTTATTATACTTTTTGATGGGGCAACACAGAAACAAAATGACACTTATATGACATGCTATAATGTGAAGTAATCACCAGACAAGTCACCTTAAAATAATTCAACACAGCCATTAATGTTTAAACTGCTGGGAAAAAAAGGAGTACAATCCCAAGAGAAAATGCCCAAATTGTGTCCAAAGTGTGAATGTTTTTTTAGTCTGCTTATCTTCAGCAAACATTGTCCTGGCTTTCTTGTGGATCAACTTTACAAGAAGCTTCCTTCTGGGAAAGGCAGTCATGCAGACCAAATTGATGCAGTGTGCAGCGTCTGGTCTGATTACTGACAGGCTGATCTACCCCCCGGACAATCGAACATATCAGGGTTATGTTGTATAATATCATTAAACACATAATAATATCACTAATATCTTTTTCTTCTTATTATCCTTTTGGCTTTTCCCCTTAGGGGTCACGGCAGCGTGTCATCCTTTTCCATCAAAGCCTATCTTCTGCATCCTCCTCTCTCAGACCGACTCCCCTCATGTCTTCCCCGAGTACATCCTCTTGCTCAATTTCCTGGCAGCTCCATACTTATCACCCTTTGACCAATATATTCACCATCTCTCCTCGTGATGTGTCCAAACCATGTAATTCACCTCTCTTGAACCTTTTCCCCAAAACATCTAACCTTGGCTCTCCCTCTGGTGAGCTCATTTCTAACCCTATCCATCCTGGTGAATCCTAAAGAGAACCTCAACATCTTCGTTTTTACCACACTCACCATTGCTTTGAACTGTATGATCAAAATATGCTCTGCAAAAAAAAAAAAATCTTATTAACGATGTTTCTTGCTATTTATGTTTTCATCTGTCTGTCTTTCTGTGCGGCCCGGTACCATGTGGCCCATGGACCGGTAAAGCATTATGGCCTGGTGGTGGGGGGACCACTGTTCTGCGCTACTAGATTTTATTTCAGTCATGATGGTAGTACAGTACTTGAAGAATTTTTGGAAAAATAGGTTGGTACTTGGTGTAAAAAGTCTGACAACCACAGGGCTATGGCATCTTCATGTAGACAAAAAATATATACTTTTTTTTTTTAAATCATATACTCAGAGTGTATTTTGTTATGCGGTGCCATATTAAACTTCTAGTGACCAGTCTGAGAGTGCCAGAATGAAATTTACACACCTGAAACCGTGGCATACTTTTAAGTCACATGCCACCCGGAAGGGCTGGGCCAAATATGGACATTTTCATGGGTGGCCCTCACTTAAGTTGCTCGTGGTTGTTGCCAGTGGACGTTAATGGCTGTGTTGAATTATTTTCAGGCGACAGTAAATTTGCACTGTTATACAAGCTGTTCACCGACTATTTTACATTGTGGATAAGTGTCATTTCTTCAGTGTTACTCCAAGGAAAGATGCAGCGGATGAAATAGGTTTTGAGCACGTCACTAGTTTTCTCACTAAGTATATAATAAATAAGCTCAGAAATTAATGTGTGTAAGAATGTGAAGTGACACACCAACTAGTATTTATTCAATAGTTGCTGCAAAAGCCTTTGTTAGTCACACGCATTGTGTGATTTTGGCACTTAATGCATGTGCAAACTTGTCTTTGTTTAAGGGTAGCATTTGAGTAGCAGAATTTATAGGGGCCAAATTTGAGCCCGTGGGTTCTTCAGGGTTAAAATGGCTTACTTTACTCGAGATGCTGCACCGCATTGTGGCCAAAGGTAGAATCCGGGTCGGTTATTGCGCCTCTTGACCAGCCTCGTATAGCTAAGCGAGCTAGCTCACTGGGGAGACAGTCCCTCCTGGGCTGAAGTTGTTTAACGCTCTTCATTTTTTGCAGCATGTGACGGAGGCACTGTTTGGCTGGTAGCAAATCAATGACAAAGGCGTTGAAGCTTACCTGCTTAACAATTTATTTATTGCTCGTTAGCTGACTACTACATGCATGCACGTCTGGGTGTATTGCTCAAAAGAGCCTGCCTGCTTCCACATGCCGCATGCACACTTCAGTGCTCCCCAGTTAAGTTACAACACACGCAATAAGTTTTAAGAATTGTTTGGATCTGAGTGAAAATGATATTTCAATGTTTGTTTTTCCATACCTTTTTCCATACCTGCTTGAATCCCAATTCAAATTGCCACCGATTCATGCACAGCTATAGAGAATAGAATCCCCCACAATTGTGTGAATAGTTGAATTTGCAAATGCTTAACCCCAAATATGTGGGCGTTCCACTGTGCTGCATGTAAAAACAAGTGTAAACGTGAGAATGAGGGTTTTTGTTTTTTTAATGCACATGAGGCTGCATTGTACTCTATGGGTAATTTCATGATTGCAGATATTTTCGCGTGGTTAGATGCCCTCTTCTACGACATCTTTGTTTTCTAGTTCATTCCTTCTCTGCACCTACCCCTAAATAATGATTTTGAATTTGAGTCCTAAAGAACAGTTTGGTCCTCAGGAAGTTGTAGCAGTCCTCTTTGTTTCGTGTGCAGTGCAGGCGAGGGTAGGGAAACCGCTAACTGGCGTCTCGGGTCACGTTAATGTTTTAAACATTCTATGTGGAATGATGACTGTTCAGAGACAGATCCTAATCTTAAATCCTGCCAGTTCAGTCAGAATAGTTGGAATTCATCGATAACCCTCAGGTTCAGCCACTCAGATCACATTACTCCATACTGTGTGCGTGTGTGCGTGCCTGTGTGCATGCGTGCGTGCGTGCGTGCGTGCGTTTTTTCAATAAAGACAAGGTGCTTTTGTTTAAATTGGAATGAATTACTTTTTGTCGAGAATACATGCAGTCATCCAAAAATATATTTATTTTTACATCACATCTCTTTGCTTTTAGTAAGTGTTAGGCAGAGGGTACTGTTAAATAATATTTGTAGAATGCAGTTTGAAATGGCTTGAAACCAGAGGGTGTGCTTTAATTGCTGACTAGATACTCTCCAGTTTTGTTTGCTCAGAGAAATAGGCTGTATTCAAAAACCACGTTTACTGCTACAATTAAGCTCTCCCCTTTTCAACTCTGCTTGCCTCCTAAACTTTCATCTGTTCTTCTTTACATTTGGCATTTTTATTCCCAGATGTTATTTTGTGGTATTTTGTCTACGAACTCCACGCTACACATGCTGCCACCTACTGGACGCTGCCACTTGCTGGACAAATTTTAACTGATTTAACAAGCAGAAAAGCCCGATCCTTAGTCAGAGGCTGCATCAGACCCTTGTGCACACTATGGTACAAAAAAAAAAAAAAAAAAGATAAAATAAAATAAGGGAATGACGTACAAACACGTCATGGGTAGGCGGCCGTCGTGGGTTTTCAAGGCATGTTTCTACGTCATGGGGATTGAATGAGTTGGTCGATCACTCCCCGCGTAGCTTATTCTTCATACATTTTCATGCTTCTGCACTCACAATTGTCATACAGCACAAAGATTATTCATTCGCGTATTTCAGTAACCTCCTCGCTTAATATCGCATGCAGGAATTTGCAGGTTAGTCCTCACGTGATTAATTGCAAAGGGGAGAGGAAGGCTTTGAGTATGATGGAATTGGCTCCATCAGTAGGGATAATAAGGCACAGCTGCTTCTTGTTCTGCACCTGCTTCCTGTGCTAAAGTTGAATGGGTTAAGGCCTGCACAGTTCTACTCTACACCCACATTTGTTACACCAGCCAAACTCTAAAGCATCACTGCTCTTTCTTGTTGCGGCCAGCTAGCTTTGACCAGATGCTCTCTCGCACTCTTTCTCCATTCGTACTTAAGTCTGAGGAGTAAATGTTTTGCAGAGCAATCACTATTTTATATTAACGTTGGAATTTTGGGGGGGGTTGTAGCAGTGTTCTGATTACCGTTCCCCAAAGAGCAAATCAGGGCCTCCCAGAAAACTTGATAGGAGTTGGTGCAGTACGATTTGTGATTTGATGAAAGGACTTGTCGTAGGTCAAAACATGGTCAAGGAAATGACCAAAAAGATCATTTATGTTTCAAACAATATTCTGCAAGGCCTTCAGACTTTAAAATCATGTTATTTTCAGAAGTCAATTGTGACTTACTACATACTCAGACACACACAGTGTTAGGCACATGCTTTTAGTTTTGTTCACAATATTAAAATAATTGCATTTTCTTTTTTCAAGTTACATTCTTTCTTTTCATGAAACATTAAGACTCTTCTTGGATTATTGGACACAAAACATTTTTGCTTAGTACTAAAGGAAATAAATCCCTAGAACAGTGAAGCCTGCAACTAAGTTTTTTTCTATTCTTTGACTAAATTTTCCCTTTTATGAAACTCACATTTGAAAAGTAGTTTGCTGTAAATTGTATTTTCAAGAGCTGCTTAGTTTGAAAATCCTCTGAAAGGCCTCTCTCTACTGTGTCAGCTGACAGAATCCCAGGCAGAGAGCAGCTACTACAGTCCCCAGAAGGTTAAGTCAAGAGAGGTCTTGGGCTTGGAACAAGAGGGAATCACTCTTGAGGTAAGTCTCGTCTTTATTTATACTGCAATTACCCCCCAAAATTCTTGAGAGTTAGCCTGTATAACTATATTTTCCCTCCATTTTGATCCTCATTACTTTTATTTCGTTTTAAATTGCTGCCATATTTACTTTGGAATAGATAATCAACATACTGTACTTCCATCTCTAACGGTATTTATAAAGCCTCCCTGGTCACTTATCTCTGGCCGGTTGTGAGTAGAGTGAAATAATCTGCCTGAGTCTGATCATTTCTGCATTTCTCCCTTGGTGTAGATAGTTTTTCTCTGATTACCTGGTTGGAATTGAAATGTATTTTCTGTGTTTAAGCTTTGTACCAGATGTTGTAATTCCACAATATTTCCAAACCCAATTTTTGTAATTTATGCTTTTTCTGGAACATGTAGAGAGTAGTCTGAACTCGGACCAAAAATGAATAGCCAAACGATTCTGAAAGCTAGGCCTCCTAATTATTGCGTGTAATAAGATGTTATGCTCGGTGTATACTCTGCTTACTGTAGTTTTCGGTTTGGTTAACATTATGAATGTTGTGTTTTTTTTCAGTCATGACTTGTTTCCTTTAACCTCTAGCAATTCCAGCTCCATTTAAACATGTCGAAAGTTTCAGGCTGAATGAGTTGTTTGAGAATATTTTGTAAAAGTGTTGAAGTGTTTTGGTTTGACACCCTAACCCCCTCCACCCCCAACCCCCACGTTTTTCCCCCCTTTTTATTTTAAATATCAGGTGCTTATGAAAGGAGAGCCCTTCTTTGACTGTCAGATTGGCTTTGTGGGCTGCCGGGCTCTCTGTCTGAAAAGCATCATGGGAGTGCGGGATTTTGAAGAAAACATGAACCGACCTGAAGAGGTAAGACAAATCTCAAGCCACCAATAAAGACCAAGAACATTTGGTGTGTGTGTGTGTGGGGGGGACTTGAACCTGTGATGCGGTTTCTTTTTTCTTCAATGCACCGTATGCCTCGTTTAATTGCTTAGCATTAACTTCTTAAAAAAAAAAAAGTAGACATGTATTGGTGTCTACCTACAGAACCTGAAAGAAAGGCCAGTCAAATTCTTCCCTTAATTGGTAAAGTGGAACCTAGAGTTGCAAACGATTGTTTTTACGAACTTTTCAAGTTTGTGACGCAGTGCTGCTGTACATTGCAAATTTTGTTATGCGAACTGAACGCGTGGACAGATCCATGCTTCTCGCGAGGTTATGCCTGGCTGGAAACACCCTCAAAACAAACAACTTACCAATCATTGTCTCGAAAACAGTTGGGTCTGCAGCCGGAGGTTCACCTACACATGCTTCTTCCAATAACAATTCTCAGAGCAGCCACCTACATTTGTAATATATGTGCAAATTCAAAAAAATTCTACACTTTGTATGATACAGTTCTGTAGAGTATTTAGTGTGTGTGCAGTATTATATGGGAACATCGCTTGAAAAAAAAAAAGAATATATATATATTTTTATATATATATATATATATATGTACAATACAGTGCTATTTTGTTTTCTCTTGGATGTGGTGTCTGCTAAGAGCCGTTTTGACGTTAATTCACTGTAAACTGAAGCTGAATCTTGAATAATCATAATGTCAAAACTAACATATATATATATATATATATATATATAGTAAATGTAACACAATTTGGGGGCAGGAATGAATTGCATTCCCATTTATTTCAATGGGGAAAGTTACATCCACTTTGTGAATGTCTGGCGTCACAAACGGGGTCGCAGAACGAATTAAGTTTGTAACTTGAGGTCCCACTGTCTTTCCTTATTTGCCCTGGTGTGTTCTTCATTTCTCACATCCTTTGCTTGTTTGTTCATTTTTTGTCTTTGTGGTCCTTCAGGATGCAGTGTTCTTCAACTGTGGCGACACACTACACGGCAAAGGAATGACCTACCTTACCAACTCTCTGTTTGACTACCGGAGTCCAGAGAACAATGGCGTCAGAGCTGAGTTCATCCTGGATTCCGTTACTCATAAGGTCTTTTAATTTACCCAAGTACTGTATCAGTTTTCTTAGACATCATAGCATTTAATTCCAACGTATTTTGGAGAGAACGGACACGGTCCACTTCAAGTAACATTGTGCCCTGACATGCTGCTCTGTTTGGACGCCCGAATATGTTGCATGTGAAGTTGATGTCTCAGATTGCTCTCTACACTCTCTTTCAGATCCATGTCATGTGACCATTTTGCAATTGCATACTTCGAAAGTCACATTTTATCACAAAACAGCTTGGGCGCAGATAAAATTATGAAAACATAATCCCAAACCGATCCCAAGAGGATTAAAGGAATCGCACAGTCAGATGAAAATGCTACACGTTCTAATTAGCACCTAGCCATAATAGTGTTTTGCCTGGGCTCGTGATACATTGTAATTACATCGGTTTTTTTCTTATGAAGCGATGACAGCTGTTACTATATTCAGAGGTACTAAGTATATATGTATTTAGACTGTTTTTAAAAAAAAGTTTGAGTAGCCTCTCATCTCAACAAATGAGTAAAACTTAAAAGCAGTTTATTTCACTTTAAAATCCACACTTCATATTTTAGCCACCCAGCTGCTTGCCCCCAATAGAGGAATTTTCCTCCTATTGAACAAGTAACTACCACACCAGAGATTGTGTGACAACCGAGGAGGCTCCCTTCATCCACTGTCACAGCTTGAGTGTTGACTTTGCTCCCAAATACTCATGACCATCAGTGAAGCATTTGTTTGGATATCCATTCATCCATCTATTCAGGCTCGAAAGTCAAAGAGTCAAAGGTTTTCGTGTTAATTCATTAGCGGTTTTGAAATCAGCCAACGGCTTTGATCCAGAAGCATGGCAGTGCTAATAGAGTTCCCCTTCTAAATATTACTCATTAACCTGCTTTTCTGATAAGACGCCATAGAAATCTCTGTTTGGAGAGCTTGAGATTTAGTCTGGTGTTCGGTTAAGTGTGTGTGCACGTGTGTGTGAATTGTTTGTGCATCGCTTGTTTCATACACTCTCGTTCTGTGTGAGTTTGAATGAGTAGGATAAATGTATTTTTCTTTTCTTTTTTTTGTGTGTGGATAACTTTTTTCTTGTAGTGAGTGCTAGTGCTGCTCCTTATTCAGGTCTACGTTGTCGCGTGATGAATAAAAAAAACATTGAGATTTTATATGATCGACCAGCACAAAAAAAAAAAATCTTCATAAAATACACTTATATCACATCATACCATTTATATCGTAAATTTGTTATGGTGGAGAATAGGCTTAACTATGCTGCTACGTAAGGTGACGGTTACACAAGGGCCTTTATATTATGTCATTCTTGTGCCTCACTCTCCAGGAATGATGAATTGATTTACGATCAAACCAAACCCCTACATGTATTTAACGGACGGAGTAAGAATTGATTGATTGGTCAATCTTAGAGAATGGAGCGCTGAGATGCCGCGCTAACGAGGTGACGGTTCTTGTGATGCTTTACTGATTCATACGCAAAATATCACTTGTCCCCGGTGTCTCATGCACTTCTGTTCATTTGGGAATCACCTGCGTCGTTGGAGGGCAACGTGGGTTCTTCATCAGGAGAAGAGGAGGTGCTCCACTTTTTTATAGATATACTGTATATAAAACCCACAAATACTTGACGGCTCTGCTAGAAGTGCCTGGATGTCAAAGAAATGCCAAATGTGGAGAACAGAGAACAAGAGCAGACAGAATGACAAACTAAACTCCCGACCACTACCAACCTTGCCAGATCTCATACAATCTTAATAGCATCTGCACCTTTATCTCAATTCAGTTCATGTATATACAGTGCAAAACACAATTTTTTTCGTCAAAACAAAACTGGACAATCCAGCATCATGGGGTGCTTCAATGTGGAACTGGAATGAGGAATTTCTGAGTGAAGTAACCTTTTTATTTTTTTTATTTTGGCCAGCTCACTAGGCTTCACACAGGATTCAAATATGAACTAATTCAAACTCATTTTTCGATTCAGGAATAACAATGACAATAATCAAGTATAATTTCACATCTTAATCAAGGAGCAATAATGCATTTTTTTTTGTTCTGTTCAGTAAATACAATATTATCTGAATATGTGTGGCCTGTGATTGAATGGCAACTACTCCAGCATACCCCACTCCTTGTCCAAATTCGCCTGGGATAGGCTCCAGTTTATCTGCGACCTGACCGAGGACAAGCGCTGTAGAAAATAGTTGGATAAATGGTTGAGCATAAAGATGGAAGGGTTTTGTAAATTAGAGGTGTAGCAAACTTCATACTGTTACCCCACAATATTTTTCTTTCAGACAAACAATGATGATGGTGATGATAATTTACTAGTTGACAACTGTGTCAATGTGGTGTCTTAATGCGATGAAATATTTAGATGACTGATCTATTCAAGCTATAACCCAGCTCAATGATTAATACGATAAGTGGTTACCTTTCACGCCAATTACGTATTTGGTATGAAAAGTGCTTATTCTGCCTGTGTCGTGTGTGTGTGTGTGTGTGTGTGTGTGTGTGTGTGTGTGTGTGTGTGTGTGTGTGTGTGTGTGTGTGTGTGTGTGTGTTTACAAAGCACATTGTTTGCATGAAAATTGGTGTTAGTAGAAGTGTGCCAAAATCCCTTCTCCGTTGTATCCGAGATGACCCCAGTCATTGCCACTCTTGAAGGCTATCAGCTTGTTTGCTCCCTCACTGCCATGTTTATCCAACTCGTCTTTTGTTTGACAGGAGACCTACACAGAGATAGCAGGCATGCAGCGCTTTGGTGCTTTCTACTTGGATTACCTCTACACAATGGAGAACAGCAGCAGCAAAGGTATTGTCTTCACTCATTCCTCCTCATGGTTTGTTTGCTAACCTTGCCACCTTTTCGCTCTTTTTCTTTATCCTCGTCTTGTTCTCTTTTGCTCTGGCCTGCCCTGCCTTTCTTCCGAGCCGTCTCTTGCATTCTCCTTCTTCATCCTTCTTTTTCTCCCTTTCCTTCTTCTCCATAAAACAAGCACCCTGGAAGACGAGAATAAAGAGATTGTCTTGTTTGAGTCACAGCCACCTGGTCCTTGACCCTTCCTGTCCTTTCTCTCACCCTCAACTTACCTGGAGGGCAACTGTCACAAGAGTGTTTAGTCTGCTGACACATATTTGAGTTTCATTCTCCCCACTGCTTGTTGAAACACTGTTCGTCCCCTGTCTCTCTACCTGTAAGCCCTTGAGAAAGTGAATACCGGGACTGTCTTTCCTAATTGGGTGTCACTCTTTTTGGCAAATGTTGAGAGTCGGACGGGGAACAAAAGCACTCAATGTTTAAGTCTGAAAGACCTGAAGTTTCCATTGAGCGCGGCAATATTTGTCAAACTGAAATAATTCATTGGACCTACCGATGTGTTAGTGTGATACTGTGGGATCGCCGGGTATTTGAATATGTTGGCTATCTGTAATGTAAACTTATAAGAGGGATTCTCAGACATGATGAAGTCTGACTGACATTAAAGATTTATATCGGCTCAGAACTCCAGAGAGACCATGTGGTTTTGGCTACATTCGAGGGCCAATCCGGTCTGACAGACAAATGTTGAAGTGGAATCTATTTGAATTTGAATTCTTGCCAAATTGCCTGTCGTTCATGGTGCAGTTTGCAGAGGCTTATTGTGCATGATTCAACACCTGGACAATACATGATCCTCCTTCTGGAGAAGTGGAATGGATTTTGGCCAGGATTTAGTTTAGCGACATTGCATGATAAGTTGGACATCGTACTTTTGTCGATGCCGACTTGACAATTAAAAGGTGGAATAACTTTGCTAAATTAATACATTGATTAAAAACACATTGCCATGTGTCTTTATCAAGTTTGACCAGTTTGGTCAGAACGGCGTCTTGTGAGACGCCCCAACTCATAGAATGTTGTGTGGTCGTTGATCATGGTTAGCAAAAGCAGTCCAAGTTTATTCATCATCTTCAACTGTCGAAGTTGTATTTTACAGTAGGAAGAGTGTCAGTACTCCTGTGGGATGACTGTGGTTACCTTGTCAAATGGAATGCTTCTCTTCTGTCAGTGTTTCCCCCCTTCCCGCACACGGACCAGATCCAGTGTCATCCAAACAAATTAGTCTCTGTTGCCACAGGACGAACATAAACTCTGAGTCAACTGAAACACTAACCGACCCAGGTGACACTGACTATTGATTTTAAATTCAAGTCACTTTGTTTTTAATCTTGAGAAAGGGAGACACTCTTGAAATTGTTTAAATGCTTACTATAGCCTGCCTCGCATTATGTCACTGACTCTTCAACTGTAGCCATATGGTTGATATTAGGCCTAATCCTTCCCAGTGAAATCTAACTGAAGAAGGGAAGAGGAAGTGGCATTGCCAGTTGGCCCTGTTTAAATCTCAAAGATATATTCTCCATCGATGAACCGTTTTAGCTTCGAAAGTAGTTCATACTTTGACTTGACTCCTAAACTCCTAAAAGAATGTTCTTTGTGGTGGCGAAACTTCAAGTAAATGGTGACCTTCTGTCCTCCCACTCCCTGTCTTCCATTCAACCACCCCTTTTATTTTTAATTTCTTCACTTTTATTGCTGGGGAACACAGTCTTTTAAGTGGACCTCTGGAACAGAGGCCTGCAGAGACTGAAGGGACAGCTGTGTGAGTGGACATTTGGTATATTCATCATTCAAGAGTTTAATGCTGTGTGAGCTGATTCCTGTGGGCTGCATCAAATCCTTGCACACCACCACTCACCACCATTGCAAATGCCTAATTTTGCGCAAAATTTGTCCCAAATAGAGGGTATTTTTTGCTTGATTAAGAAATTGATTAAACAGTTTCATAATGCATTGATGTGAGTATTGACAATAGAGGAACATCATCTCTTGCGAATTAAATGGTTTAGCCTGTGCAAAAAAACAAACAAACAAAAAACAACCTCTCATCATTCAATCGCTTGAGGGGTGTACATGCATGAGGAATTTGTTTACAATCGAAATAGTCCGAGTTTGACTAGCTAAGGGTAAATGCCCCAAAAAAATCATGGTTCAGTGTGTACGTTAAGTATTGAGGTTATGGTTCAGTTCATAATCAATAGAGCAAAGGAGCAAACATATAAAACAACTCAAAATAGATTTAACGACACATGAAATGAAAGCAATGCCAGGAGTTTTTTTTTCTCTTTTTATGGAAGTGCGGTATCACTGATTTGTCTTCTTTTTAGAAAATGAAAGTCACAGACAAGTGCAACAGCAACAATTTGATTAATCTGAATTATGCTCTATAAAAAAAAGCAATATCATTCACATTTTTTTTTGTTGCTTTGACTCCAGCTGGAGTGGCCATTGGCCTCAGGTTCAAAGGGTGCTTCTCCACAAAAACGTGACACATGCACCTTTCCACTCTCACGTTCAGATGTATGTAGCAAGAGTGAAATGACTGTGGGAATGTGCGGTGCTCCGGAGCAACTGCTTGGCTGGCGTACGCATGTTTTTCTTGATTTTGAGCCGCTGCTGAGTCAGAGAGAGGTGATGCTGGACAGTGACGTGTGGTGGACTTTCAGCCAGGGTTGGGGGGGCCGCAATAAAAATATATATGTATTTATGTGATATGTGTTTAGATTTTACACACATATCCTGTATGCTTCATGTCAAGAGAGCTATTGCATGTTTGAGTTATCTATCATCATCATCATTAATGTGCAAAAATGCACATCAGAGATATTCAGATGAACAATTAACGCACAGTTGATTTTATTTGAATGTGTGGATATAAACGTAGGTGGAAATTCACAGATAATCTTTAGAGAATTGTCGTGCAAATCACATGATGCCCAGGGCGAATGGTCTGATCAATCTCAAAATCATGCCCCTTCAACAAGCGTATTCAACAAGCCATCTTATATAGGCAGTGGATGTGCGCGGAAATATTTCCAATGCCGAGGACGGGGGTTCGTGCATACAGACCTTGCGTTAAGTTTAAACTGCCGCAGATCACAAACTGATACATGGACATTCAGTCACTATTGGCGGTAGGCGACATATATGGAAAGATGTTCATCGCTAAGCTTGCTGTTGACTCCTGAGGACAGCATGCCACAAATAATAGTTTTTTGGGCCTCAATTTTGGTTAAAAGCATCTCCAGCTCACATTTTGTTAATTTCCTCTATTTTCATTTGTGACTCATGGTTTGATCACGCAGCTTGATCATTCCCACCTCCAAACCCTGCTCAGATTTATTTGCATATACATATATAGGGGCATGGAGAGGAGGAGTCTGGTCCTCGAACTCTTCCGCATTGATTGAGATGTATGAAAGGAATGTGGTTGGATTCATGTGTACGTACAAATAAATGCATCTGGAAATTATTTTTTATTTTTTGGTGGATGCGACTGAATTTGATGTTTTAGTATGAAACCCAGTCTTTGTCTGTGAGGTCCCCGGAGAGCCTGTTTAAATGCTTGTGGAATTTGCATCTGCACAGCCCTAATTCTTTACTTTTTACACTGCACTGGTCTTCACATTTGGGCGAGGTTATTTCAAATGATTGAGCAAGTTCCGCTAAAACAATTTTGCTAGCCGTGACGGGCTGCTAGCCAGACGCTTAGCTGCACTGTTTGTTCATAGACTAGACCCTATCTGTTCTTTCTGTGTATCCAAATACCCAGCCAACCATATTACGCAATTGCCGCTGCATTTCATCATTAGCATTTTTTTTTGCTGGCGAAACAGCAGGTGACCAACACAAGGACTGTGACTGTTTGGTCTATAGAGGAGGCACTGCTTTCGTTTGTTTTTTAAGAGGTATATCTAGTTGATTATTATTACTTACTGTTTTACATTCAATATTTATTATTTACAGGTTTTTGTTTATTTTATTCTTTGAAAGGGCTCTATAAATAGGTTGACTGTGAGGTCCCCGGAGAGCCTGTTTAAATGCTTGTGGAATTTGCATCTGCACAGCCCTAATTCTTTACTTTTTACACTGCACTGGTCTTCACATTTGGGCGAGGTTATTTCAAATGATTGAGCAAGTTCCGCTAAAACAATTTTGCTAGCCGTGATGGGCTGCTAGCCAGACGCTTAGCTGCACTGTTTGTTCATAGACTAGACCCTATCTGTTCTTTCTGTGTATCCAAATACCCAGCCAACCATATTACGCAATTGCCGCTGCATTTCATCATTAGCATTTTTTTTTTGCTGGCGAAACAGCAGGTGACCAACACAAGGACTGTGACTGTTTGGTCTATAGAGGAGGCACTGCTTTCGTTTGTTTTTTAAGAGGTATATCTAGTTGATTATTATTACTTACTGTTTTACATTCAATATTTATTATTTACAGGTTTTTGTTTATTTTATTCTTTGAAAGGGCTCTATAAATAGGTTGAGTTTAAGTTAAACACAAACAACAACAAAAAAAGTGGACAAATTGTAGCATGCTTTTGCAGGTTGAATAAAATGTGGGGGATCTGGCCCATGGGCCTTGAGTTTGACACTGGTGTTTTAAAACATCAAATACTGCCAGATCAAGGTGTTTATTAGGTTGTTCCACAAGTATTTGGTTTGCCTACTGTCAGAGCTCCCACGTGCCTGTCAAATTCACATATGCCCACAACTCAGGCCTTGATTGACCTCTCTTTTTATACTGTGACATAGTCATAGTGAGCATTATCTACAATTTTTTTCCATAAGTTTGAAGCAAAGAATTTGCCAAATGCGGCAATGTAGTGTATCTAAACCTTTTGGGGTACATAATGCATTTTTCTCTTGGTAGATACTCAGGACTTCTCTGCGGTGAATGTGGAAGAGGTACTGCCAACTATTCAAGAAGCATCCATCAAGAGACTTGTGGTGGGACCTTTAGACATCAAACTGCACAGTAGCGCTGTCCATCGTATACTTAAAATGGTCGCCTGTGCCATGGACCATGAGTATGAACCTTATTGCAAACCGCAGCAAGGTAAGGTATCACTGTGTCTAAACTTGCATTGTTGGTTTTCTGGAGTTTACAACTAGTATTAAGAGTTCTTTCTACTCTCTGGATTCAATTTCTCCTCCATTCAGCCGGTTGTCAGAAATTACACAAGTTTGCACATTACAATACTGTATATTCATCGCATTGTTATTTCCTGGCACGACCGATCTTTCACCTCGTTGATGTACATAAAAGCCGTGGGCTTTTGGACTATGTAAGGGAGGTTGAGCCTAACACCTCTTTAGTGATCAGCTCTGCAGCACTGTTGAGTTCATCCCTGCGGTGTTGTGAAAGAATATGGAGTGTGTGTGTGTGTGTGTGTGTGTGTGTGTGTGTGTGTGTGTGTGTGTGTGTGTGTGTGTGTGTGTGTGTGTGTGTGTGTGTTTGTGTGTGTGTGTGTGTGATATCGAAAGCAATAATTCACATTATAGTGAAATGATAAAATCCGTAGGTTTGACTTACAATCTGTGATTAATAATACAAGATTGGGTTTTCACTAAGTCTTATGACTGGTGCCACATATTTCTTTCACTTTCCCCACATGTGTCGCTGATCTCAGCCATTTTAGGCCTCTTCTCCTCTTCTTAGCTCGAAGTTAAATCCCAAAATTAAACAGACTTTAATAAATACCGGTAAATAAATAAATACATCTCCATCGTCATACTAATTAATCTTAAATTAACACTTGCCAAACCAATTTGTGTCACTGTAGCATTCTACACTGTCCTCCATGGAGCCTGGAAGTAGCCTGCTCAATAAATAGCAGATAAACACAACAAATGCATACACAAATCTGAAGTTCTTTTTTTTTCCCCTTTTTTCTTTTGCTAACATTTGGGCATGAGCAAATGTCATATCACTTCTGGTGAAGAAATTATTTACAATGCTTCACTTTTTCCCATGTTACAGGACATTCTAAACTATAAGCCGCACCTTTTTTCCCCAGTCTTTGAACCGTGCTGCTTTTAATGTGACACCATTTTTTGAGTGAATTTTTTTCTGATGAGCTTCAAGCTGCCAATGGATTTACCCATAGTCTCGTCATATCTGACCAATGAAATAACCAAACATGTCACAGTGTACCAATGAAACTGTCCAAGTCTGCCCTCATACTGGATATTCATCAGCCATTTGTGGTTGGAGTGCGCATGCATGAGGGAGGAGGGATCTGTGGAATCTTAGGGATGCATGGTACTAACTTTTGTTCAGCAGTTTCAACAAGAGGAGCTGTACGTTGTGAGATACTGTAAATGGGATGATTCTCAGGAAACAAGATCCACGAGTGTGACATGAGAGCCCAAAATAAACGTGTTCAAAACCAGGTATACAGTATGCTTAAATCAAACCGTCCTGCAGTGTGCTATAAAGAAAATAAAGGTAGTTCACTCAGCCCATAGTTTGCAAAAGATCGTTGAATGCTGGGGTCATTGTTTTGTATTGAAGTGCTTGGTGCCTGGCCAACACTGCACACTGAAGTAAAAAAGGTAAAAATGATCCATCCATCCATCCATCCATCCATCCATTTTCTAATCCACTTATCCCCACAAGGGTCGCGGGTGTCCTGCAGCCTATCCCAGCTGTCTTCAGGCAGTAGGCGGGGGACACCCTGAACTGGTTGCCAGCCAATCGCAGCGCACACATAGACAAACAACCATTCATGCTCACACTCACAACGAGGGACAATTTAGAGTGTTCCATTAGCCTTCCATGCATGTTTTTGTAATGTGGGAGGAAAGCGGAGTCCCCGGAGAAAAGCTATGTAGGCACGGGGAGAACATGCAAATCCCAAACAGGAAGGCCGCAGTCAGAGTCGAACCCTGCACCTCTGCACTGTGAGGCCGATGTACTAACCAATCGAGTGCCGTGGTTTTACTTCTGAATGTTGAACAATGGCCATCATGCTCGGTTGTAACACTTGATGATCACATGGACACCACAACTTATTCGATGTTTGCTTCATATATATATATATATATATATATATATATACACACACACAAGTATATCAAACCATACAGGAAAACAGTGTACACAGTCCAGCATGAAAAGGAGAAACTATTTTATAAATTGACTGCAGCAGATATTTGGTTGTATGCATTTCTACATTTTATTAGTATATATGGAGCACTAACAGAAAGAAGTTGTTGATAAACACATACAAACGTAAAGAAGCTGTTCATAAACACGTACGATGCCGTGGAATGAGAAGTGGCAGCAGGTCTAATGGAATCGTGACATATTCCGAGAGAACAAGGAAATGCAAAGTCAGTCGACTTGAGACATCCATGAGGCAGCGGTCTCGACATGCTGCGGCATAAGTGGAAGTGATGTCGAAGCTGCCACTGCGCTTACTCTTATTTCAGTATTATTTCTGTTATTATATTCTTTACTGCACCCTTGCAATACTGTATATAAGCAGTAAAGTCGTTTTTTCATTTACACTGGTCAACATCAAATTTTAATGGAGATGGCTTTAGGTGTCCCTAAAAGTATTTTTGATGCTGATGTTCTTTTTTTGTTTGTTTTAAGCTAATCAGGTTTGTGAGAGTTTTCCATTTTTTGATTTTTGGTTTGCGTAATACGGATTTTCCCATGTGTTGTGTTTTATAGCTATGATCTTTCAAAAAAAATTGTGCTAAACCTAACTCTTAATTAATAAATATCAAAAAAATTACATTACATATTATATTATTGTATTTAGTCATTATATTATTATTATTATTATTTAGGAAACCTCATGTGTTTCAGAAAAAAAGAAGGGCAGATTTGGAATCAGCACAAAAAATAATCTACAAAAATTAACTCTCCTCTTGGATAAAAAAAAAAAAGTAACATTTGTTGACTTGTGTTATTATTGCTAGTATGAGTTAGAGATTTTGCAATGTCTGCAGAAATGGTGGAGGAGAGTTGCTGTCCTGTCACCCCAGAAGAGATTTCAAGATTAGAGGAATTTATCCCCACCAGACTCACTTGTCTCACACTCCTCCAAGTCTCAGTCACAGTTTCTATGGCTGAATTCAACCTTCTTCACATGCTAATGCCTGTCATCAAGGGGGGCAAGGTGAGTGGAAACATATAACCAAGACGTTTGTTATTCATGTTATATTTTATACAGTTAGCTCCATTCGTATTTGGACAAAGAAAAAGGTTATCTAATTTTGGCTATGTAGAGCAGTGATTCCCAACCAGTGTGCCGAGGCACATTACTGTGCCTCGAGAAATCATCAGGTGTCAATTATCCAATCTCAGTTATTTGGGCCAAAAATGGTGTCTTTTCTCTTTAAAAAACACAATGTTTCATTACTTGATTGATGCCGCCCACGTGTAATACATAATGAATCTGTTTATCCAATTTTTTCGTGGATCGTTTTGCTTAAATGGTGTGCTGTGAATTGTTTTCCGATGTGAAAAAAAGATTGGGAAACACTGGTGTCGACTACCACAATGAAATTTAAATGAAACTATTCATGTGCATTTAAAGTGCAGATCATTAACTTCAATTCAGTGGGTTGAAAAAAAAATCTAACATTTGAGGAGTGAACATTTTTCTTTTGTACAGTATGTGTATACATACTGTACATGGATACATGAACTCAATCTCTTTTTTTAGAGGCCGACCTTACTGACCAAATATTTTTATATTTGGTTGAAAAGCATTTGCTGGCAATGATTGCGTGAAGTCTTGAAATGACTGCTCACACCCACTCTGCGGGTTCTTTCGCACATGTGCAACACAGCAATGTTGCTCAAGCAATATGTTGTCTACATTTATAGATATATCTCAAATTCAGTGAATAAATATAAATATGTCAACAGAATTCAGTTTTAACTTTTAAAGTTGATGCAACTAGTGGTTAAAAGTGAAATCAACTGTCACCATTTGTAAAACATTTTGAACTTGAAAATTAGTCATAATGACTTGAAGAACTTCAACTTTTAAGTTGAAACAAAAAATTATGCTCTATTTGAGCTAACTTCTGTTTTCAAGGCAGCTTTTAAACTTACATTTGCAAGTAAAACAAGCTTGAAATGTTTTGCAGTGTGCACACGCACCCACGCACGCACGCACACACTCATACGTGTGTGTAATATTGTATGTCTTCCTTTTTCGAAACTGTAACCAGGGTTACACAAAGACAGCCGAAGAAAACACTGAATAACCAATATTTGCAATGTGGATACTTACATTTGCATTGTTCTTCCCCTCCATTTTCATTTTCCAAGGCTACACCAGGACTGGTCAACATATCAGCATTTCAGCCAGTGCGCCCCCTACCAGCTGTGCAGTTTCAGGTGGAGAGAGTGAATGTTGAACATTCGGTGCCGATGTATGCACTGGAGTTGGTCAGCACTGTTAGTTCTCTGAACCAGCCTCCTGACAACCTCCTACATCACTGCTACGCACATTTTTACCTCAAGGTAAATGGGACAATTTAAAATTGTTGGACTGGTTCTGATCCATTTCACCGGTTCACTGTGGTAAAGAACAGGTGTCCTTTTCATTAATGCAAGATGTGATTCATTATCCTCCACTGGAATGATTTTGAACGACTAAAAGGTTATTTTTATATTACGTCTCCAAAAATAAAGTTATTTAAAAAAGGTCCACCAGATCTGATTGAAAATGTTCGACGGTGTTTTTACACCAGATTTTTTTGTTTTAATAGACGCTCGTTCAATGTCTATAGTCCATTAACTAAATAGTCACACTTCCACCCTGTTATGGTGCAAATGACCCTTTACTGGCCTTGATGACCTTTTTCCACCTGGTCATAAAAATCTTAGCACTGTGAGCTTCCTGATGATTACCAGTCCTGCTCTGGTCCCTCTCAGGTGATCAATGTGATGCTAAGACCACTATTATTGCTGGCACTATGACCTTCTCATGTTGGTGTGTTGGCTTTAAAGTTTAATTAGTTCGTTCGGCATGTATGTTCAACAACATGTTTGTGTTCACTGACAATTTTATATTGCCAGATGTCACTTAATGCGATCTACTCATTGCTATTTTGTCCACCTCCTTGGCAGGGTTCTGACTTTTACCAATTCTCTTCTTTATTCCACAAATGGCTCTAATTACACTATCAACAGAGTACTACACATACATTGGCAAGCGGGATCATTTGACTCCTTTGGTTAGGGTATTTCGGATTTATTTTTAAGTCATACAGTACACCTAAATAAGGTTTTGCTGAATTTACTCCTTTCGTCAAGTGGTTGCACAAAATAAAATAATCTGAATCCAGGTAATTTTTTTCAGTACACTATGCATATACTTATAAAATGTATCTGGACCCAGGTGATCTTATTGTGTGCATCCACTTGATGAAATACATATAAAATTGAATAAATTCAGCACTCCATTTTTGGTTTTTGACCTGGCTTGCTCTTACGATTGGACGCAAAGGGAGACATGTTTTCCTTGACAAACCTTGGATAGTGGGACACACTACATCTTGTAAAAGTACTTTAATTTACGGGGCTGTAGTTTTAGAAGTGTGTAGACTACCATTTATTTACCATTACAAGAATGATAGTTTATTCAAAGAGAAACAGCATGACTCACACCCAGACACTGTGCTCAGCAAACCATTCCAAAAGGAAACCTGTTAAATTTGACTGATTTTGTCACAGAATTTATCTTGGTTTCCTACATAAATTTTATATCTTATATCGTTTAATAGCTTTGGCAAACGTGAATAATCAAACCTTGTGGAAAGCTAGCGCTATTATGTTCATCTTGTTTTCTTATTAGTTAAAATAGGTTTCTTTTTTTTGAACAATGGTCTGTTTTTTGTGGAAAGCTGACTGATTTATCTGGATTAATCTGGGATGCTCCACTCTGGCCTGAATGGCCTGGAAATATTTTTTTAAGGCAGGATGTTTGCTGGATGTGATGCTGTTTGTCCTTATCACGGGGTCACTGAAGGGTGAACAATCAATTGGTCAGTGAATGAGGATGCCTCTAACTGAACAGCCAATGAACATCTGCCAATTCTGCAATTAAGCAGTCAAATTCCACTTCTGTATTTTGAGAGTGGGACCATGACTTGGTGGAGGTCAGTCTGGCCACATCTCACCCATTTCAGGAAGTGACTTGCAATGGATATAAACTAAGGCTTATCTTAATCTTTGTTTTATGGAGAGTGGTTGTCAGAGTTTAGGTGTCTGTTTTGATGGTGGTGGTAAGCCATTATCCCACCCCCACAGTTGTTGAAAATAACTAAAATGAGCTTGAGAGGGAGCCTCATGGGATGTATTTTCCAGAGGAAAAAAGGAGTGAGATTTCCAAAATTGTAGTCTCTCTTAAAAAGAAACAACAGAAAACAAGATGGATATATTGTGTTTTGGTGTGTCATTATTTTGGTTTTATCCGTCTTTTCTGGAATGTCCTCCTACCAAGATTTTTTATGGCAGCATTAGAATCAAGCGATGCACTCTGCATTTAAAACTCTTGCATGCACGAAAAAAAAAATCCCCCCAAAAACAAAAAAAACCCCGAATTACAGCATTAAACTGCTTAAAATTAGACCCTTAAAACACAGAACACCCTCTGATTGCGTTCGACTTTTCAAAGTTCAATCAATATACACAAACTATTTGACTGGAAACCAAATTCTTCTCACACTTCCGTTGATCAAATGTCCAAGCTGTAATACTGTACCAATAAACAACAATTTAGACAATGCAGTGAACATCGCCGTCAAGGCATCCATTTTAAATGATTGCCTGCACAGAAGTGTGTTTTTTTTCCTTCTTCTTAATTCACTCTTATCATACATTTCTTGACTTTTAACCAGTATCAAAATAATGACAACCTCCTGCATAGTGTCAAAAGTTGACTCACTCAAAATCATTCGGTGATTTTTGTTTTTACTTGATTAAAAAAAAAAAAAATCCCCTCCTGCTTTTCATTGCTAATACAACCACACGAGTCTAAGCAGGTCTCTTTTGCAAAAAAACAAAAAACAAAACAAACAAAAAAAAACATACAAAGCAGTTAAGTTATGCTCTTTTTGGCTCGTTCCAGTTAGTAAGCACCAACAAAGCCACTTTTCCTGATGGAACTTGAACAATTAAACAAGCCAAAAGCTCATTGCGGAGGCAGACATAGGGTGTGCATTGAAATGTGTTTTAGAATATTAAATTAATGGCCACTGTTATCCCCCAAAGCACAAAATGTATTTTAAAATAATGCTTTTTTTTAAGCTTTTGCAGGCCAACGAAGGTCCTACGATGAGCCAGAGTTGGCTTGAATTTCAAATAACATAACCTTATTGAGAAATAGGAAAACATTGCAACAATGCAGATGTGTCATCTTACCGACTTAAAGCACATCTGCTAACATGTTTGTCCTTTTCTCAAGGTGTTTGGGTTCCAGGCAGGCCTGACATGCCAAGACGCTACAGGCGGGTTCCTTCCTCTCATCCCTGTTATTCCGTCCTTTAGCACAGCAATTTATGGGAAGATGATCCAGAAGCCTGCATGCTGGTGAGTACCTGGAGTGACAACTTGTATTCATTTTTAGATCTTTTAAAACCACCAAAATGTAACTGTTGCAGAACATATAGGCGGATTGCAAAAATGGGGAGGCACAGAGAGGGAGAGATAAACTAGTTGAATCGTAGCAGTCAATATTTCTGTGAAAAACACTTCAAGGTCATAAATGTAAAAAAAAAAAAAGTGTGGCATCACTTTGCTTAACTTGTGCTGTGTGATGGCATTGTCAAGCCACGATGCGAAGTAGTTAATTGTCTGCCTTTCGTATATTTGAACCTACGTGAGCCGGAACTGTCATATACAGCGGACCGCCTGCTATGCAATTTGTTGTGTGAGTCAGTGTCAGTACAACTTCATTTCACTGAGCAAAGAGTGCAAGAAAAAAAGTGAATGGAACTTATTTCAGTGTTTTTCTTTCTAAAGCAGATACAAAAATCACTTCCTTTGTCTTTGTTGTAATCTATGATTGTGTGTCAAATAAGTGTGAATGTATGTAAATTTTATGTGCTCTTTATCCATCTAAATCAGTGGTTCTTAACCTTGTTAGAGGTACCGAAGCCAACCAGTTCATATGCACATTCACCGAACCCTTCATTAGTGAAAAATAAAAATACAATTTTTTTTTTACAAATTCAAGACATAAAAAAACACATTTATTAAAAACAGAAAAAAGTAAACACAATTCGTATAAGTATAAAGTATAAGTTTTTTAATTGTGCACAAAATAAACCAGCCAATGATGGCCAAGCGGGCGTGTCATAACTAATTGACATGTTGAGTCGGGTGTGTCTTAACCTCCATGGCAGAGGCTCCGTCGAACCCCTGAGACTGATTCACCGAACCCCGAGGGTTCAATCAAACCCATGTTAAGAACCACTGATCTAAATCATAACAAAGCCCACTGAATATGACTGAACTAGATGACATACGCGGAAATATTGGTATAATCAGGACCTCATTTATCCATTGTAGAAACATCCAGAGAACCATTGCTACAAAGCGCACTATAGCCTCTGCACTTTTACCCACAACTTGCAGTGAAGTGCCTGATTTGGGAATCAATTACTGAGCCCCTGTCAAAGGGCTGCAGATGATTTAAACTTTTCTTGACTTCTTTTCCAGACAATTATCGTATGTGTACACTTGAGAGCAGGTCACGCAGGAAACGAGAACTCCACCATGTCGTCTTCTGTATGAGCAAGTCTTTGTCAAGACTGTTTTACATCTCTGTTCTCAATAACTTGTAGTCGCTTGTTTGATCTCCAAGTGCGCCTTTTCTGCCCTGCCTACATCAAATAGTGGACTCAGATTTGAAACGCATGTTATTTTTCACATTGTGTTTCTCTTTTAAGAAAACCTCACAGATCATACTGGGCTGGATTTCTTTTTTGGATCTGGGACCAGCCCTTAGAAATAACACTGACAAGCTCCCGCTGCATGTCTACCTCCTTCAAGTGATTAATAGACACGGTGTTCTTGTGCCTTTAGACTTTTAGATCTTTCAAGTATACCTTGACTTAAGTTTGACCTTTTCTGTCTCAGGTGCCTCATCTCTATCTGTAATTAACACAAACTGACAGTGTGTGCCTGTAAGAATGATGGTGAGCTGATTTGACAGGACCTCGGTTCAAAAGAGCAGCAACCCTGTGATATTTCACTTTTTCCTTTTTCTTTCTTGCATTTTCAACATGCTGGACTCGCGCAACAACATCCCTGTGTTTCATTCATTCATTCATTTATGAATGGCGCACTCGTGCATTTTTTTGATAAGTTTTTCATTGTTTAGATTTGGGTTAGCAACCTTTTTGAAACTGAGACCTGCTTCTTATGTAGTGATTAATGTGAAGAGCTACCAGTGCTTCTGAAATACCAAATTTGCTCAGATTACCTTTCATTAGATGTTATCATCTATGTGAAGACACTGATCATGTTATTTCCCCACAATAATGATCAATAATTATTTAGGAAGGTAGCTACACATTACTGTGCAACATCTCTATACATCTAGGCAGGTGTTCGTGTTCTAACAATCACCTCTACAACCTGCCTTGGAAATCACAATTTCCCATCAATGATGCACATGATCCCTGGAGCGAAGGGCCAACATCTTGGAGACCCCTGGCATAAATGGAAATGATAACCCAAAAGAAAATGAATTTATTCAGTACATGCTGCACTTTGTTGGGATTGGATTACTATTTGCAAGCAGCAACAGATTGCTCATCGTCCTGACTCTCCTTTTAAAGTAAATGGAATTGTGAGGATATATGACTGGAAAAGACAAGGGATGCAATTCAGTTGCTTCTGTTCAGTCATTTACTCGAACAGACAAATAAACACACATTTGACATACTTTAACTGAATCTTCCTTGCTTTTATACAATTACACATTACAATGTGGATAACCACTGAGCATCTGTTCAAGTCCAGCTCCTCTCCTGTGAGTTTACTTATAGTCCTCATGTTGCTTTTGGTCTCACCACAAAGGCTCTTGCCTCGCACAGTGGGCAGCCTGGGACTTTCAGTGGGGAAAGTACATTGCTCTGACATCCTTTGTCTGCCACCCTTGGCCTTAGCTGGGCATGATTTCTTCTGTCAGATCATGGATCCCTTCACATAAGCGATGTTTCTAAGGTAATTGGACTACAGTGCTTGTTAGCGATTGCAGAGTGACCATGTGAATTTGGGGGGGGGGATTTGGAAATTATGCAGAATGGAGAAAATAAACCTGCACTCGTGCCAGCTTTTTTATTTATTTATTTATTTTTTGAATCATCATACGATTCTTGACTGAAAGTGTCCTGATCGGTTAAACCCTGGATACCTTAACCAACCTGAAGTCAATTTTTTTCTTCTAACCATAACACATTTAATTTGAGTGGCATAGTGGAACACTGTGTGAATTGCTTCTGCTAATATTTAACAGATAGTATTAGCAGTTGTTAAACAGTAAACGTGAATCCAACGCACAGTCAGGTTCTCCGCCAAAGTATCTGAGCAGAGGTGAAGGTTACCTAACTTTTTGCAATTTGGGTTCCCTGAGAACAGGATCAGCGTTCTTGAAGTGTTGTGTCATGGATTGGGGTCAGGAGCATGGCAACTATCAATTTCAGCAAAATGTGGTTTTATAATGTTGGCTCAGTATGTTAAGATGAAAGACCGTAGTTTCTTGTCTTCTATTTGTAAGGACAATTCCTTTTTAACACATTAAATGTTGAAACCATAAACGGCATAACATCTCTCTGCTGGCAAGAAAAATGCATTCATTCTCGTGACTTCAGCAGCTATTTTGTGAAATGACATTGAATTAGAGTATCGCACTGTGTACATGGAAATATTGTTCGGACACTTCTGCTAAAGAAAAAAAACCCATCGGTCGCTGAATGAGTTTGACACTGACTAGTGACAATCATGAAATGGTTGATTAACTGATGAAAATCGGTTCATCATTTGAATTCTTATCACGCAAACAACTGAAGCTTTTACAACCAACCGACTGAAGTAACTCTCAATGAGACTTGTTCACCTCCAGCTCCTACTCCAGCTGTCTCTCATGTGATAAGTGCCTTCTCCGGACTCCATGTTTCAACTCCTTCCACACAAATTCAATCACCTTTAGATCGGAGCTCATAGAAGGCCACTTTAGAATAGCCCGTTTGGTTGTTTTAGGTCATTAGACTGTTGGGGGACCACTGGAGCCGAGACCGAGCTTTCTGACACCCACTGGCACGTTGGCCATGATCATTTTTAGAGTTCAATGTCCTCTGCACAGATTCAAGACAGGTTGTGTCAGGTGCTGCCCCAGAATGTAATTCCTCCATGTTTCACAGTAGGGAACAGCCTTTTCTTGGTATGCTTTATTTTGTGTCTGAAAATACGAGGCATCTTGTCTTAAAGACATTCTCCCAGAAGCTTTTTGGCCTGTCAAAATGCATTCTTACTCAATTTCAAGTTATTTCAGTGACTGTGGTTTGAAGGGCACGAGCAATATACTTGGACTCACATAAACCTCTCTACAATTGCGATGTCTGGAGCTCCCAACTTCACCCATGCTTAGTTTCAATTGTTCAGGCTGTTAAACCCTTAATCCCAGATGAGATCAGTGCTATAAAAAGTAGGGATTGTTGCGGGATGTGGCACTTAGAAGTGGTGTTAGAAGTGCCACCTGCATTGATCTACGCTAGAGCTGTCCCCCCTCACGCTCATGCCATGCAATATGCAGGGCCACCTGAAAGCATCGGCACATGGAGGCAGGCCAAGTCTGGGGCCCGCCAGCCCAACCGACCAACAAAACCTGCGGCACCTTAGTGTGGCTGGTGGCTTTGCAGACTATAATTCAGGCCCGCGTCAGCTTTTATGTGGCACTTTTAACAGCCCCTGTTTCTCGCTCAGCTATTTCAGAGGGGGTAATTTCTTAGACCATGTGGCATTACAGGTGCATGTTGTATAGCCACAAAAAGTTCATTTACCCTGTTAATGTTTCTGTACGAAAAGAGAGTTTCTTTTCCCTTGGTACCTAATTCTTGCTGTAACTCTTATTACATTGTCAGTAGTTGATTCAGTTTTTAACACAACTTGAAGGATTGTTTTATGTGAAGTTGAAAAGTCCATTACTATGTCTGGACCAGTAGTCTAGACTCTAGATTAGCTCATGTGGTGATTTATGAAGGCTGCTTGAGGCATCTGAGGCATGAGCCTTGTGGTGTGATTGTAATGCCTCATTACTTCTGTTCATAGTTAAGGCGAGCAGCTCCTGGTCTGTATGTCCAAGTGAACCCAAGAACAAGGAGGTCAACGCCGTGCTGACTTGTCATGTTTAGCAACTATACTATGTGTGTGTGCGTGCGTGTGTCTGCGTGTGTGTGTGTGTGTGTGTGTCTGTCTGTCTACTTGTCTACCATTCAAACTTTATTCATATAAAACTTTTCGTACATAAAAATGGAACTCAGTGGTGTGCAATTAAAACTTTAAAATTACAACATAAAAAGAGG